ACAGAGATCTGACCCTAATCTGGTCCCATGTAACATCTGTATCAATAACTTACATAAAAAAGAGGGAAACATACCTAATAAGCCTACAGATGACACAATTCTGAGAGCAAAAGCAAATAGCTTGTATGGTAGAATTTGAACTCAGCAACATCTCCACATGCTAACAAGATGAAATCAAATTAGGCCAAATCAAGGCTCCAAATATATTTCCACTGGTATCTTAAATACCAAACACAAAATTGAAAAAGAATCAACTATGTACTTATAGAATAAATGAAACATGGTTTAGCTTCAGAACATGTTAAAAAGGCTTTGGGGTTTAGTTTCGAGTGTTCTCAATGTGTATGGATAGTGTCATGTGGCCACCAAAAAAGCTGATACTGGAGTACACAGCATTAACCAAAATACATAATTAAAACAAGAGAGGTGGCTAATTGTTGGTCATAGCATAAAATCCCCAGTGAATCAGTCAAAATGACTGACTGCTGAGAGTCCCATCTAAGGAACATCAAATCTGCTTCCAGTCCTTCCTCAAGGGACAGCCATAGATGGCCATGTTGTTGCTTATTTTAATCACAGGACTTTTCTCTCCCCATAGCCTCAGTTGACTGTGAGAATAATTGGCAGGGCTTGCCAAAAAACTGAAACACAGCCTGCTATAAAAGGGATGAACTGGGTTAATCAAATTCCCTCTTAGGGTTTTGAGCCTGCAGTGACCAAGATAATAACGCAGTCAGCAATGGGACATGCAGCTGAAGGGATGAGGTGAGAGGTGTGAGGAGGTACACTTGGAGTCATGTGGTGCAGTGGAGACCAGATATTGTTATGAGATAGTAGAAACTATGTGGTAGACAAAATAAATATTGAGCTGATGGAAAGAATAAGCTATTGGACAAAGAAAGAGACAGAGAGGAGCAAAAATGCAGAGAATTGCTGAGTCTTATTAATGCTAGAGATCTACAGGCTTTGCCTTTCCTTTGGGGATTGACCAGAGTTTCCCATGTTTTCAGGGACTGATAACACATACACTGAAAAGATGTTCTCAATTACTCGAGACAACCTGAATGTCTTTGGCTTCTTGTAACCAGAGAGCCTAATAAGAACCCACACCTGCATTCAGCCTTGAACATTACATTTCAAGAGCAGTTTGGACAAACACACTTTTAGTGTGTTCTAAAGGAAGAGACCAGAAAGGGAGATTGGAAACCAATTAATGTGAGGAACAGGTAGAAGGAACTGGGGAAACATTTAGCACAAAGAAGAGAAGACTCAGGAACAGTGAAGGGCTGTCAGTTGTAAGGGGAATTTTACTTATTCTGTGGGACCCTAAAATTGGATTTGAGAAAAATGGGCAGAGTTAAGAAGGGATAGATTTTGGTTCAAAAAGAACCTTCTAGTAGTTGTTTGAGGTGGAGTGAAATAACTTAGTCAATTACCTATTCTGGAGATATTTATGCAAAGGCATGTGGCCACTTAGTAGGGATAGTAATGTTACCTTTTCATTGTGTAGTGCTTTACAGTATGTGAGGCACTTTCTACTATGTTAGCTTGATTTTCCTAATTAGGAAGGCAGGCATTTGTATATTCATTTTTACAAATGAGGAGGCCGAGGTTCAGACAGGTTCTGTTACACAGTTCATGCATAAGTTCCTGGATACTCACAGTTACCTTTATTGACTACATGAGAAATGAACATTTTAAAGGATATATTTGAATAATTCTAGTTGATCAAGCTAATAACATTTCTGGCTTTTAAAAAATCATCATTGTGATGCTAAATATATATTCAAATGTACTAAAAAGGTACTCTGTTCACTCTCACATGAAAACTTATGTTCTTCTCTGCGTCTTAAGAAACTGAGACCAATTAATACTTTCCTTGCATAGATACAGAAGGTCCGTGGGTGCAGTTTGTACAAACATGCCTAGATGTACATTTCAAATAAGAATAATTTTCTTTCTCCATTTGCCTGAACCCATTCCCCACTCTCTCCCAGATTTCCTGTTATTTGGCTTTATAGAGGAAAGGAGTGTGTTTGCTTGTCAGAACTGCTACTTAACCATATTGCCCTGCTGTTTCCTCAGCTCTCTATCACTAAGCTCTGCAAATGAATTAAAAGTAAAATGAGGAAATAACCACTGTTTGAAAACTCCTTGAAGAAGATATACATTGTTCTTTGCATTTTACCCTTTACTCACCTTCCCCTTTCAATAAAAAAAAGAGGAAAGAAAAGAAAAGAAAAGATACAGGGCTGGGCACAGTGGCTCATGCCTGTAATCCCAGCACTTTGGGAGGCCGAGGCGGGCAGATCACAAGGTCCGGAGTTCAAGACCAGCTTAGCCAATATGGTGAAACCCCGTCTCTACTAAAAATACAAAAATTAGCTGGGTGTGGTGGCGTATGCCTGTAGTCCCAGCTACTCTGGACGCTGAGGAGCCGAGATCTTGCTACTGCACTCCAGCCTGGGTGACAGAAGGAGACTTTCTCAAAAAAAAAAAAAAAAAAAAAAAGGAAAAGAAACAGAAATCCTATCACTAGTTCAGTTCTAACTGCGTTATCGTCACCATCAGTGCTGACTGCTATATTTTTCTCTTGGAATATAGCAGAAATCACCCTTTATGAAACCATTTAATCTGGTAAGTGATGGATGATACTGTTTCCTGGACATGGGTCATAGTACTTCCAGTTTGTTGATGGTGACATATTCTCTGATGCCATGGTTGGTATTTAATTTAATATGCTGCTAAACAACAAAAACAACAACAACAACAACCGGTCTTATGAGAGTTGACTAGTCCTTCTCTTTCCATTCCAATTCCCAGAGATCAGGTTAGAAGGTGATAGCAGACATTGTTTATCAAGCGGTATATTATGCCCATTTTTTACATACAAATGTCTTTAGAAAAAGTTTCTGTAAATTGGATAGCTATAGGCAGAAGGAAACTGGACTCCTATCTCTCACTATATACAAAAATTAACTCAAGATGGATTAAAGACTTAAATATAACACCAGAAACTATAAAAATACTAGAAGACAACCTAGTAAAAAACTCTTCAGGACATTGGCCTAGGCAAGAAATGTTATGACCAAGACCTCAAAAGCAAATGCAACAACAACAAAAAATGGACAAATTTGACTTAGTTAAGCTAAAAAGCTTCTGCATAGCAAAATAAATAATCAACAGAGTAAACAGACAACACACAGAATGGGAGAAAATATTTGCAAACAATGCATCCAAGAAAGGACTAACATCCAGAATCTATAAGGAACTTACACAAATCAACAAGAAAAAAATACCCAAAAATTCCTGTTAAAAAGTGGGTAAAGGATATGAACAGACATTTCTCAAAAGGTGCTATGTAAGTGGTCAACAAACACATGAAAAAATGCTCAACATTACTAATTATCAGAGAAATGCAAATTAAGACCACAATGAAATACCATCCCATACCAGTCAGAACGGCTATTATTAAAAAGTGAAAAAACAGCAGATGTTGGTGAAAATGTGGAGAAAAGGCGATGCTTATACACTGTTGATGGGAATAAAAATTAACATAACCTCTATGGAAAACAGTATGGCAATTTTTAATAGAACTTCCATTTGATTCATCAATGCATTTCTGGATATCTACCCAAAGAAAAATAAATCATTATATCAAAAAGACATCTGCATTCATGTGTTTATCACAGCACAATACACAAGAGCAAAATCATGGAATTGACCTAAGTGTCCATCAATGAATAATTTGATAAAGAAAATGTGGTATATATACCCCACAGAGTACCACAGAGCCATAAAAGTAAATCAGGTTTTTTGCAGCAACATGGATAGAACTGTAGGCCATTATTCAAAGTAAGCTAACTCAGTAACAGAAAACCAAATACCACATGTTCTCACTTATAAATGGGAGTTAAACAACGGCTATTCATGGACATAAAAATGGAAATGATAGACCCTTGGGACTCCAAAAAAGGAAGGATGGGCGGGGAGTGAGGGTTAGAAAATTACCTATTGGGTACAATGTTCACCCTTTAGGTGATGGGTACACTAGAAAACCAAACCTCACCACTGCACAATATATCCATATAACAAACATGCACATGTATCCTCGAATCTATAAAAATAAAACAAAAATAAAAGTTTCCATTGTAGAACTAAATAAGGCACACAAAAAAACAAGGGGAAGTCCTTGAATTTCAAAGAAAATAGAATGCTATGTTCTATTAGTTCATGTTTTTCTATGTCAGTATAAAGTTGTAATTTTTGATTTAAGAAAGTGACTAGAAATGATGAGTAATTTCTTTGTTAATTGTATCTAGTGCTAAAATCTATCATGATCAAGGGACCTAGAACTGCAAAGAGTAGAACTTTTATCACGACAAAGCTCCGAGGAATGAATCTAGAAAACTAAACATGTGAAGAAAAACAGGCAAACTTTTTTTCTCGAAAGACCAAAAGCTTAACCCTGAAGGCAGAATTTAGTGTTTAAATGTACACATATACTTCCATTACATGAGGCTGATCCTTTTATTTTTTTAAATGTTTGAAGGCAGCTTATTTTTTCAAAGAATCTTACAATAAATAAAATAGAAATGATCACTCCTCCTCCAGTTGTGTTTGGGTTTTCCTGTAATACTGTAGTTTTTTAAACCAAGGGACAATTGCGTTTCACTTTGAGGCTTCAGTGACAGCTTAGATAATTGCTTTGTTTTATGTTTTTGTGAATATGTGACAGCAGGGTGTTTATGTATCTGCGGCTTCATCTTTTCACGTGTATCTGCTCTGGTCTGTGTCTGTGGCTGGATCTAGATGTGTGTGTCTGTTTGCACATCTGTGCCTGTGAAGGAGTCTTCCTTTTTGCCCATGCATCTGAGTATGTATCTGTTTGTGCATTTGTGTGTCTCTGCAGATGTGTGTGATGAAATGAGTTTCTGCAATCAGTGGAACCATCCTCTGCCAATACTTAAGTTTAGTGGGATCAATAATAGCTTAAGTACCTGGTCTCCAATGGTATGTTGCTATTCAAGACCCAGCTGTTATGCAGATGAACTGAATCCTGCGTGCTGGTTGGGGGAGCTGGAGCAGCTGGGCTGGGCTGGCTGCGGGTAGTCATTGATCTCCTCTGAAGAGAGTCCGCTGCAGGGGGTGGCTTCCTGGCACAGGTGCAGGCATGAGGAGGCGGAGGTGGCGGTGGGAGGGGTCTGAAGGTGAACTGGTTGTGTGGGCTGCTCTGCACATCTAAAGAGGAGAGAAGAGAAACACAAAATAGAGACTTACTCTCCCACTTAGCAGTCAGGGAAACTAGCACGACAGACTTACCAGGATTTCAGATAATAAAACCTGTGGGGTGAGGGAGGTTGTTTTAAGTTCAGTCTATCTGTAAAAATGCCACTTAACTTACAAAGGCACGTGCAGCATGCTTATGAAATTTAAAACATTTGCAGTTGCATTTACATGTAAATTCTTTAGGGCTATAGCAGCTAAAAAGTAAATGAGGCCGCCTCACACCATTTGTCATAGTTTCTGCTACTGAACAAATAAATCATTAACAAGACACCAAGTTACAGAATAGAAGTGAGCTGATTTCCATCAGTTGCAAAATTCTCACTTCAGAAAATACTAGTAAAAGGCACAAATTTGTTGCAAGGAAGATCATTTGGCACTTCAAATAAAAATATAAGGCCACCTTCTGGCTTACCTCAGGAAAGGATGTGAGCTTGCCTATACAGGAGCAAATCCATATTTTAGAAAAACAGCTCACGAGTGTGTCACTTGGCTGTGTGAAACTAATCTCTTTGCCAGCCCCCCCAGCTTAGAGTGTTATTTGTAAAAGGTAGGCTAAAAGGAGTTTGTTCAAGTTGTTATACATATTTCCATGGCCATGCAAAGCACAGTCTGCACCTTTTTCCCTTTGCCACACCTTTCTAGGAGCTCTGCCATGTTAGCAGCAGCTTAGGCAGCAGGGAAACAGATTTTTTTCTGCTTGTTTACAGAGGGGCAGCCTGGGACAGCGGTCCTCAGACTTCTGTTGTTGCTATTGTTTGGTATTTTTCCACTGTTTTCCTGACAGGCACACGTAAAGACAGTGAGTTAGAATTTGGTCCATGAGAAATACCCCAATTAAACCCCTTTAAAAAGAAATCACTATTGTAGCTGATAGCCACCTCTCTTCCACAGGAGAAACATAATAGATGTCAAGTGATTTCTTGTAACACCAGCATGTTCTAGATAAACTTTGTAGACAGCATGGCTTTGTCCCACCTCCCAAATGACTGAGAGTTGAAAAGCAGAAAAACGCCAGAGGCTTTCGATGCCTAGCAAAGGGCTCAGCTGGTTTGTGCTGAGGCCCACTTTGCAGTGGCTGATCACAGAAAAAAAAAATCACTTCTTTCAATCTTTTTACTTCAAACTTGAATTTTAAAGACATTGGCATGGTTTTTATTTTTAAAAACAATATTACTCTCCCAAGAGCATGACAAATTCTTGGCTGTATTTTCTAGCACAGGTGGCTCTCCCTTTAAATAAACTCACTATATGAAAATCTGAATTGTACAAAAGATAGATAGAGAAGGGAGTGGTGATCATTCATTTTATATAAAGGATTCCTTTAGATGGTCAGCTATTCTTGTATATTTAAAAAGAACTAAAATGCTTCATGATGTTCCTAAATCACCCCCATTATTCCAGGCCCAGCTCAAATCCCATGTCCACTAAAAAAAATCATCACAAATACTTAACATCTCATTAACTTTTTTTAAACCTCTGGGCTCATACTCATAACCATAACTAGAAGTGTGCTTTCCATTTTGGGGACTCAAAGAAGCACAGAATGTTGAAACCCAAAGGACTTTGGAGATGCTCTCATTTTGCAAATGAGAAAACAGGTCCAGGGTCACTTGGCAAGTTAGTGGCATGGCCAGGACTAGGTACTCACATCTCCTGACTCTCTAGCTAATGCTTCATTTCCTGTATTGCAGATCTCTGTAATATGAGTTCTCTTTTCCCTCATAAGATTTAGAGACAAAGAATTGTCCACATTTTCTTGATTTTTCAGTTAGGTTTATTATGTCTGCTTCTCTCTTTGACCATGACTCCTTAAATGTAGAAAGGAAGGCATTGTGGTGTAATGGTATGCAACACAGCATAGTGGAAAGTGCAGAGGACTTAGACTGGGATGTATGGCAAATCTGGGTTTAAGTTCTGAATCCACCCTTTAGAAGCTTTAATTCCTCACTTGTAAAATAAAGATAATAATAGTAATCCCTTTTCCCAACAATTAAATTTAATTCATGTAAAATGTGCTTGAACATGCATTTTGTTGACTATTTGTTTATTTAATGTAATAAAAGTGTAAAAGTATAAAATTATAAGACTGGAAGAAATCATAGGGATCATCTAGTTAAGCTTGCCTCTCTCCACTCACCATTTTACAGATGAGAGATCCAAGACCCAAAGAGGTGAACTGACTTGCTCAAGGTCATTCAACTTGTATACTTTTTCCTGCCCATGTCAGATGATTCCTTTACTCTTTTTCTGCATGTGCTTTTGTAAATCAAGTGACATTTTAACAGATAGACTGAACTTAAAACTCTCCCCCATCCCCACAGGTTATGTTATCTGAAATCCCAGTACTCTGCCCAGCACTCTTTCCATTATGCTATTTCGGAACATAAACATGACTCTCTTCTATGACTTTAACATTTACTGGTTTTGCCATAAATTTGACCCCTGTGTTGGCAATATTATAGCATCCCCATCACATCCTATGTGTTTTGTCTTTTCTCCCAAAATAGACTGCATGTTTCTTAGAATAAGGTTTCCTTCTACTTCTCCTGTATGCTGTATGACATTGAGCAAAGTGCTGGGTACAGAGCAAGATCTCTAAAATCTTTTGCTAGTAGAAGAGGGATTGACTGGATCATGGGACCCAGATAACCACCTCTGTGTTTCCTTTGGCTCTCATTCTGTTGTAGCCACTTGCTATCTATTCAATTGACAGACAAGTAGGTTTTCCCCTTGAAGATCTTAGTGGAATGCCTCCCAGAGCTATGACAAAGGACAATGATACTCTGAAGAAGGTACTTAAAATGATGCCCCTTCCCGATGTGAAAAAAGCACCAGTGACACACTACAGATCTACTGTCTAATGTCACTCGTGGGAGAGCACTTAATGACCCGAGGGAAGGGAGGCAAAAGGTGGGAGTTCAAGGTTAGAAGAAGAGGAGTCAATTTGAGGTCTTGTGTTCAGAACTCCTCTAAACAACATGTGTGACAGCTACTAGCTTAATCAGTAGGGGTTTCTGTCAGCACAGCTGTGCAAGAGAATGGGTTTCTCTTCAGTACAGTTGTTCCAAAGAAAAAGAATATCTCATTGACATCTAGATTTATTTCTTGCTAGATTACCTCAAAATCTTTGCAACTCTATTACGAAAAATGATAAAAATTTTACTTCATTGAAAAGTGCAATCATAGTATTATTATAACATTTCTGCTGCAGGTAGAACGGCTTTGTCTAGTCATTTAGATTATCTACATATAATGCATATCCATATAATATATATGGATATTTTGATTTTTATCTATTTTACTGTGTATTTTTATTTCCACATTTCAAATATGTAGAAGTTTCTCTACTAGTTCATATTGTCTTTAAACGCTTTCACAATATTGGATTGTTGCGCTGAGTGGAATACATCCAGACCTTAAGCCTTTATGAAATGCAAATGATCTCAGATTCATTCTCCTTTTCACCTCAGGAAAAAGATGGGGAATGCACTTGTTCCCTCCCAAATGAAGTAATTTAATCCTTGGGCTCCGTGAAATGGGATTTCCCAACATTAAACACTAATGAAAAATACATTAGTGTTCAGTGTCAGCAGCTCTAGAACACCAATTCTAGGGGTTTGAAAGTCACATACACTCACTTCCAAATATATGTGGCAACCACGCACTTCTGTGCCTGAGAGAGAGGAAGGCAGAAGAGGGGAGTGGTGATTATGCAAATGTAGATATCCAGACATACTTACAAAGCTTTCTGAAAATAAATTAAGTTTTCAGATGGAAAGGTCTAATTCACATAATATACTTGGATAGTAGCCAGTTTCAGGTCTGAGGTCCTAAAATAACTTGGTAAGATAATTTCTCAGGAGCAAAATTCCTCCAAACTGTAGATCTGAGACATTTTAAGTGTGGCAGAGATGCTAATAGAAGTATAAGCCTTCAGAAACAACATCGCCTCTGTCTCCAAAAGGTAAGTGGAAGAAGAAATGTGTCACGCATAGTTTTCCCCCCCGCCTTTTCTTTTCTTTTTGCCGATAAACCTTATTTTGGATAATGTTTTAGAGAAAATTTTCACAAGAAATTAGAGTATCTCTGCTCAGAAATACTGTGGCATCTTATCAGGGTGTCTATCAGGGTGTTTTGTCCCTTGCATTTCATTAACACATACAGTCAGTTCGGCTACAAGACAAAGCATGCATTTCTGCAGTTCACTGCACTATGCAAAATCACACATAACCAGAGGGTTACGGAAGAAATGAGGTTAGGGATGCAACATTCAAAAACATAATCAACGACACATTAAAAAAAGGAACCTAATAAGAATGACAGCATAGTTTTTCATATATTAATGGTTAAGGGATACACAAATGCCATACCAAATATGACACTTTATCTTGTGAAAGTGGGTGTCAGAAGAGTTGCAAATTGTGAGTTATTGTGAAATGGTGAAAAGGAAAGTTATCTGACTAGGACGGAAAGTTCTAAATACCAGATGTGGATGGGACAGGCTCCTATCCACATGTGGTGAGCTGAAATATCTGATGGATATTTCAGGTATATACATGTGCCCATTTTGTGTATTCTTATGCAGTTCATTCTGCTGTATGCAGTTTTCTGCATTCATCTAGTGCTTTTAACAGATGGAATTGCGCATATGCAAACGCAAAATTTGTCTTAAGTTCAAACTGTTCTCAAACATCCCAATACCAAGGGAACAAATTAACTTTTATAAAACAAGCACTATAGCAGCATTGGCTGTACACGCAAAATAATTTTCTGTAGGTGTTAAAAATAAATATTGTCAGTATTACAGTAATGCCAAATAGATAATTTTTCTTGAAAAATTTGAGCAAAGTAGATACATGGCTAGTTTCTCTGAAATCCATGTACTAAATTGATCATTCTTTTCTTTAGTGACACTCTGGCAGTACCTTCCCTAAATATGTTTTTTTCCAAGG